CGCTGGCTGCTGCACAATGCAGGCAGCGAGCTGTGCTTACCCGGAGCCTGCAGGCAGAATGTCAGAGAGAAGTGGGCACGTGTGGAACAACTGGAGTGGGGAGTCCTAATCAGTGATGGGGTTGTGACCCACAAACTGCAACGTTTGTAGCGCCGGGTGCTCTTGCCATTGTCACTGCCTGACTGTTTGGGATGAACCGTTTGGAGCCAGGTGTATGTGTTCGCTGGTTAGCTTACCCCAGGCTTTCTGCATAAATTCGTGCTGCCAGAAGGCTGTGTGGGTTATGGTGTTCACGAAAAAATAATGAATGTGATTTAAGCTTAAATCAGAAGTCACTGGTTTTGTCATGGGCCTGTCTTGCCTATGGAAAGGAGGCATCATTGATTCCAGAAGGAAATGATATAGGGTGGGAAGAAACAAAAGCTTGGCTCATCAAAGTCTCATGTGGTTAGTAGGGGACTTAAAAGGAGAAATAGCTGCCTTGTAAGAATGGTTCAGTATTAGTGACTGTTTAAGCAGTTCTTTTTCCATTCAGTTTTTGACAAAAATAGCCGTAAAGGAGCATATGAACCTAAGAGCATGTGATCTGTTTTTTGATATGTCCTGTCTTACATTTGTCAGCTTTAGATTCTCTGGTATGGCACATCTAGTCTGTGCAAAATATACAGTACAAGAGATTGATTTCTTGGGGCAGAAATTCCTTTGAGTTCATTCCTGAAAGGTGATGATTTCTTCAGTGATAAAGCATCACCAGCTCAAAGCAAGTGGTTTGAATCAATGGCTCTTCACTGCTGATTCTGTTCTGTCTGATTTACTATTAAGTTCATTCACTCAGTTCTTCTGTTTGGGAGCTTACGCTAAGATTGCGTGTGTACCTTGTGCTTCTTTCCATCAATCAGACATACACCTCGCATTTTTGGCTCCAGTATAGGGACGATGGTTAGCTTCTTCAGATGGATCCAGTGAGCCAGTAAACCTTCTGTGAGACTTCTTCTCTTGCCCACCTTTTCTACAAAACCCCCTAGCCTAGTCTCAGTGCACTTTCTTTGCATTGCCCCGAAAACATTTTTTCCACAACCTGCAGGCTGTGAATAATTCCCTGGTATGCAGATTATTGACCTTATCTGGGAACATCAAAGCACTGCAGTCAGTGTGCTGATTCTGTGGCTTCCTATCCAGTACTTTCAATGTAAGGTTCCTTTCAGCAGTGCATCAAGTGGTATCTGGGAATCTGATAAATCTAATGTAATGTTTGAACTGATGCCAACTTCTGTGCCTAGCAATAATTTGGTCTTCTGCCTACGCCAACAAATGGCAAGGGGAATCTTGCTTTTTTTCAACTGGGCATTCAGGAAAGTATTCACATAAAGGGATTTGGCTTTTCTCTTTTGAGTGTGCTGCTGCTTTTCACTTACAAATACTCTTGATGCATACATTTGAATATTGCAATGAGGAAAAACCTGGATGCTCAGTGCTAGGAAGACAAAATGGTATTTCCAGTATCATACTGTTGTACCCAGCTAGGCACAGCATGATACAACACTTAAAATGGACACTTGTAGAGTCGGGTAGTTACACTGACAATATAAATACTGTTCAGCATGCCTCACACTTGCCATGGAAGGAGCATCTTACAATGAAAAGTTTGTGCTAGAAGAATTTTAGTGCCAGTTATTTAACTTCTTGTGATGGCTTCGTTAGGGCACTGACTTCAACAAAGTAATATCTTTTAGGTGGCTTCAGAGCCTCTCAAGTATAATTTGCAAGTTGTAATTTTTAACTGAGCTATAATTTGAGTAAGTGGCACAAAAGGAAAAATAAATCATTGTAATAACCAGACTTTTGTGTATACTATTCTCATATTACTTCCTTCCAAAAATGTCCCTGTGACAATTAAATTTGCACAGTGTCTTTGAGTATCTTTTTTTTCTTTTCCGGAAAAAATCATGGTTTTTATAAAATACAAGATAACAAGAATATGTACATGTTTAACTGGTACAGATTGAACTGCAGTGTATGCAAGGAGCAGGTCTCACTGCCCTGTCCTGGTTTGTGTTCTAATTCGTCACACATACTCTGGTTGTACGGTCTCCTAACAGACTTCGGTGTTGTTGGTTTTCTACCTCCTTGAGCTCAGTCTTGCTGACTAGAATTGGAAGACAAAGCTCAATCAAACCTTCCCTCATCCATTTAGCATACTAAGATCAAGTAAAAGGAATTTGTTTTTTTCCTAGGGACTACTCTGCTCTGCTGCTTGTACTGAGCACTCAGCTAAATCTTCAGTAAGATAAAGTAAAATACATTGCACAAGGGGAACTAAATCTTGTTTTATAATGTAGAGTGTCAGACCAGTCCTGCTTTCTCTGGCTTGTGAGAGGTTGCTGTACCAAGAGAATCATTTCCCTTTGTCATGTGCTGACTCCTCTTGAACTCTTCTGTCGCTGTGGTTCTGCAGACTACTGCAGGATGACTCTTCTTGCATCATATTTGCATATCATTTCCTTTCATCACAGGCTGCTTGCTGAAGATCAGCTCTCCTGTGTCTTGTATTGGTCGTTTGCTTTTACTCACAAAGAAGGACAGTTTAGATTTATTCTGTGTCTGCTCTGACCTTGTGTTGATAAGTTTTGTACTGAGTCTGTACAACATCTCACTCTTCCTGGCTGTGTCTCAAATGGTGTTTATATTTACAGTAGTTATGTAGCATCTAGCAGTAAGAGTGGCATTAGCAAACCTTAGCAGATGATTTTTTGCCTTACCTTTGGAAATTCCAACTCAAGATTTTAATCTGGTGCAGTTTACATGAGTATGAACTTCACCTCAGACAGATCTGTTTTTCACATGCACTTTGTAATAGAGGGGGGTTTTATGCCTACTATTGACCCAAAATAATTCATAGACCAAACCTGGCATTCAAGCGCTTTGGCTCCTTCAGTACATACTAATTGTGTATTCTCATTTAACATTAGGAAATGTAAGTCTGACTCTGTTCCCAGGGATCCTGCCTGGGAGTCTATGCTCGCTTTCTGTTGGATCTAAAGTACATATAAAGATAAGCAAGTGACAGTTATGTCACTGCTGGGGGAGGCGTCTCTATGTATATTTGGTGGATGTAGTGCTGAGACCAGCAATACAGGAGATACTGCTGGTTTGTTTACAGTAGAAAGCCGCTACTATTTTGATGTGTCTGTTTGATCTCCTATTACAGAACACTTGCGATGCTATAAAAGCACTTGATCTGCATATACTCATTCTGGTAATAACACCACCGTAAAATCTTACTATGAGTAGTTTTATACGTATACAGCTTTGCTTATGCTCAGCCCTTAAAAACACAGCTTCTTAAAAGCAAGCACACAAATGAGTCATATGATCATCAGTAAAATATCTAAGTACCTATTGGAGTTTATAAAGCATGGTCCATGGATTAAATGACTTAGAGCAGGCATTTATGATATACTTGAGATCCTGGATTAAATCTCAAAATGCCTGGAAAATTCCCTGCAGTATTAGCCTGACTCCAGATACTCGCCATTCTGGCTAAAAGATCCTTACTCTGTGCTATGAAGTTAATGGAAGAGTATCTTCTACCTGAGTCTTTGGGGCAAAAATCTTTTCTGAAGACATCCTTGTTCCTCTATATTCTTTCAATCTATACAAAATTGTAGACAGGACAGTTTTAATCCAGAAGTGAACCAAGCCCTTGTAGTTGAAAAAGAAAACTTGTATAAAAGTGAGATCAACTGCCTCTCTTACTTCTCTTGGCAATGTGTTGCTGTTCTGTTTTACAAATTAGAATGTGTGTTGGGATGTTTTAGTGGAGGGGTTTTTTTTGATTTTGCTTTTATTTTTCCTTTCAAAGAACTCTTCCCAATTTGTATCTTACCCATCATTTTTGACTTGTACATTCGACTATACGTTCTTATAGTGCTCTGTTCAGGCTCTCGTCTGGATATCATAAACAAATTCACTTGTTCTAGGTAACAACAACAGCAAATAAAATCTTGCCTGTATTAGAGCGCTTAACTATTGTAGAAACTGAAGCTCTCTCTGAGGTGCCTGCGCTGTAATGTGTGAAGATTCTTGCTCTCCTGAGAACTCTAGTCCTGGGCCCCTGTTGAAGGCAAGATACTAGATGTGGTGTACTCAGAGATCTGACTCTTTCCAAAAACTGATTGGCAAGTAATAGGTGTTAGCTCTTCAATAAAATCAAAGCATGATGGAAAGTATAGAGGCAGTTTTCATTTAAATCCGTCGTTACCCACCATGTCTGGAGTATATCATAATAGAAAGTAGATGATCTCTTGGGAGGAGTAGTGTGGAAATTTGGGGAGAAAAGGGAGGAATCTAGTAACAGTTTTGATGTAGGAGTCATGTCATCTACTGTTGGTTTTTTTTGTTATTGCGTGGATTACTTGAGAAAGTAAGTTAGCAAGTTGTTTTCCCAATCTGTACTTTATAGCACACTGCAAAAGGGCCTTTGTGATAGCTCTTCTGAATACGTATTTTCTGAAATATTCATGTGAAAAAAATAGTGAAGTTTATCTTCAAGATTCATCCTCACACTTCTTTTTTCTGCAGATTAGAAGTGATACATCAGAGATCCTGGAGGAGACCATTCCACTCATTAAAGAAAAGGTGATGGAAATGAACCACATCTATGCCAAAGTTGATAAATTAGAGGTTTGTTTACTGCATCAGAAAATTTACATCCTTCTTTTTATGTGTTTTATAGGCTAACTGCCCAGGTGTTTGTATAGAACACTCAGATGTTTATGGCTCTCTGTTGTCTTAGGTTTGGTTATAAATCAGTATGTTTACCCATTGTTCAGCACATGTAAGTGCTTATGGGTTTGGAACATCACTGAGTAATTTATTGCTGTGGGTTCTACAATTCTTAATGGTAGATTAAAAGCGTTAATTGTGGTTTTGGTGTTAATAATAATGCTAATAATGTTGATTTGTTTTGTGACATGAAAGATTGTATGTGAAACCATTTACAACTGCAAAAATTTAAGTGTCACGTCCAGCGCTGGACATACACATTTTTAGTTGTTGATGATCATTGTATGTAGTAGTGGAGAGCTCTCTGAGCTCCCATCTTCTGTTGTGTCTGTTTTGGTGTTTATTGTGTTCTGACTGAGGAAAGCCAGCATGACTCACCAAGATGATGCCCTCACCATATTTAGTAAGCAGTAAGTTAAAATTTGTGTTAACTGAGGGCAAGTTTGCCTCTGGGAGGAGTATAACGAAAACATGATGAGATAAATTGTGTGAAGTTTAAAATCAGTTTTAACTGACTCACAGTGAAAGAAACCAAGTGTTTGTGGCATTAAATCCAGACAGGCAGTGGTTACGCTTCAGGCTCTAGCACTGTACAAAACCATATCCTCTGCTAAGGTTTATTACACTGGGAGGAAGCAGGCAATTGACTTAGCTTTCAGCAAGTTTTCTTCAAATGCAGTTCATTTTTTTTATATAATTTGCATTTATACACCTACATTTGATAACGGACTTATCAAGCCACTTCATATTTTATGGACTTACACAGCACCAGGAGAAAGCTTCAGACAGGAGGTTGAGGCAAGGAGTTCTAGGAAAATAGTGGGAGGTCAACTGTTAACCAGTTCAAACCTGTCCAGTTTTCAGAACTGAGTATCCTAGTCCAAGAACTAGGTAGCAGGTTCTCATAAAACTTGACAGTTTGGAACTGTCTCACCCGTTTAGGTCTTTGTGCAAATTCCATGCTTATAGGTGGTAGGGATTTTGGGGAGAGTTGCAGGGAGGGTGTTTTGTCTTTGAATAGGAAAATAAAACTAAAACTCTAAACAATTACTTGTGCCAAAAGTATGGAAAGCACCAGGGCTCTGTATTATTTTTTTCTCCTCTCATACATGGAAGGGACAAGATAATTCTTCCTGACCCCGTCTCCTTAGTACAGCTGTAGGGCACAGTTATTTGGAATATGAAGAAAACACCAGTCTCTACTAGGCTACAGGTTCCTCTTGAATAATGCAGCAGAATTTTGAGAGGCTTTTTTTTGTTATCAGGTTTTCTCTGTAACATTACCACCTGTAATGGCAGTAATTTGAGAGCACAAGATTAAATTGGCAATTTGAGCAGTAGTTAATGTTTTAATTAGAACTTTTAAATTTAAAGCTTTGCATCAGTGGAGATTTTTAAGGGAGAAATTAACTTGTGCTCCCAGAAGTAGAAAAGGCAGGGACTGTTGTGTAATGGTTATATAGGATGAAAATCTGCTGCATTTTAATTTTGATGTTGCCACTAGTACCCTTTGGGCAATTAGTTTTCCTGTTCGGCCTTACTTTACTCATTCATAAAATGGGCAGCGCTCAACTCCTCAAATTAAAAAAAAAAAGATGCTTAATCATGAATAGAGAGTATCATAACTCTTTACTAACTGTTCTGTATTTTAACCAATAAATACTGTGTTCTTTTTAGTTAGCTTTGCCTTATGGCGCAAATTGCAACTGAAACTGAACACATGTACATTTTAGGTCAATAATTCTTAACCTTTTTGTAGCTGAAAATCACCTTTCACTATCTTTTCCTCTGCTGTCTCCTTCCTCCTGCTACTCTCTCGCTCCTACCAGTAGCAGCAGTCTCTTTGCGGGTTCTGAAGAGATTTCCACCTCACTGCTGAAATGTTGCCAGACCTTTAGACACTGTGCAAGTTCTTACATGCTCTGTATGCTGAAAAGGGAGCAAAAGCCTGCCCTTAGGTAAGGAGAAAAATCAGTCTTAAGTCATGACCAGTGGTTCTTTCATGGCTGTAAACAACTGTGTTCTACTTCTAAGTGTGTACCCCTTGGATATTTATATCGGTGATAGTGCACTCTGAAATCTTGTTAAAGCTTTTTCTTTGATGCCTGATCTCTAGGTAGGATGATGTTGAAACCCAGCACAGGTGCTTTCAATTTTCACTTGGTGTTTTTCCTCTTTCCACAGGCATTTGTTAAAATGGTTGCACACCACGTTTCATTCCTAGAAGAGCAAGTGCTCGAAGCAGAGAAGAGCCATGGCACCTTTCTTAATACCGTTTGCAAATTGTTTCAGTGTGCAACTATCTCATCATTTAAAAACGTGAGTATTTTTGAAGTTGCTTTCAGCAGATGGGAAAGTTAAATACCTGTTCCATATCAAATGTGGCCTTATGGCAGATTTAACTATTAATTTTAAGTGGTCTGAAAGAACTAGCTATAGCTTGCTTCTGTAAAGGGATTTAAAAAAAATTTTAAAATTTTAAATATTTTTTAAGAGATGCTGCTTAGAAGGTGAATAGTTCCAGCAGTAATTTTGCTCCTGACTGAAAGGATTTTCTCTCTATATCCATGTGCAAATAGGAATCATCTTGCAGTGAGAGACGTAAGCATAGATTGTTCTTCCTGTTTGGTCTTTGGTTTTACGTCAACTATGTCAAAATTCCTTTATAGGGTCACCCATGGATAAGCTCTAGAGGGGGGTGAGAACTCTTTCAGTTAGTTTTAGTCATATTTGCTGATCTAAGATTGTTGAGAGTCAGAGATAATGATGTCTGATGTGGTCCTGAGGAAGCTTCATGTATTCTTTGTTCTTTCTGTCTCTGTTCTTCTCTAAGAATATCTTCATAGCACTTATCTTTGCTCCTTATTTTCCTTCTGTTGTTTCCCCAGCAATTCATCACAATCTCCAGTTAGCCTCTTCTGAACTCATCCATTCCATTCCTCCCTCTCCATCTTGATGTGATCTCTGCCATATTTTTAGTCTTAGCATATCTCTGTCAGGGTCCTTGTTCCAGTTTCAGCTACTTCCCAACTCTCTTTTGTCCCTTAGGTATTTCTGCCATTGTGTTTCTCTCCTCGTTCTCTTCCAAGTGGCTTACGTACCAGTATGTATAATAATAGTGAATAAGCAATAATACACAGGGATCAGTGATCATATAGGTACAGCTGAACCATTTCTAATTTTCCTCCAGTCTCATAGCAAGCTCTGGAAGCTTCAGTTGCAGGAAAAGTCCGGTTCAGTTTCTGCAGATCTAGGACAAACTTTAACTGCTTCAAGAGAATAATGAGTATTCAGTCTGGTTAACAGAGGTGGGGACGGGAGACAGTGCATTCTGATTTAATCTTCAGCTGTCAAATTCTAGTGAATCTTTAGGAAAAAAAACCAGTTTGATATAGACTCAGTGAAGAGTTGTAACTTGGCCAAATTTGGTAAGATTTTCATAGGAATGGGAAAATGTCTCCCTGATACAAGGGTAGCTTACTGCCAACTTAAAATATCTGCTATATCTTATGAAGGCATCAGAGTTTTACAAAAGACCTAAACAACACATATTTTTCCTTAATTTCATTATCTAACTGACTTAAAACTTGCCAAACATGTTAAACCTTCAGCAGATAGCCAATCTGGAAAATATATCAAAGCTGGAAGTTCTGCAAGGTTGGTCTGCCTATACAAATAAAGTTGTATAACTGGGACGCCAGTAAGAATGTGAAGAAGGCCAGACTGTTTACTCAAAAGCTGGCTTGAGTTGGGCTTGAAGACAGTATAATGTGTTAATATTTTTTTTTCTTTATAATTCCAAAGAAAAAGTTTGAAATATTGTGTATTCAAGCTTGCAGGCATGTTGGAATGATAATATTGGTGAACAAAAGAGAAAAATAAATAGGGACTGGTGTAGCTTCTTAGTGTACTGATGTTAGCCCCCCCTCCCATCCTTTCCCCCCAAAACAGTACAGCTAGAAAGCACTGTGAGAGAGGTAACAAGGACAAGTACAGGTAAGGGAAAGTTAAACACAGGAAGACTCAGCCTGAAGGAGGACAGGGTGGGGGTTTGTGAAGTCATTCTGAACATGGAGCAGGTGAATAGAGAATGATTATTCACTCCCTCCCATAATTCAGGAACTAGGTTTGCGATAGAAAAAGGGAGGTACTTACTTTATATTATGTCATAGAAGTTATGTCCATAGGATGTTATGTATGCCCAAAGCAGTTAGTCAAATTCATGGGGGACAAAATCTGAAATGATAGTATCCAGCCAGTCTGTCTCCTCTCCTTAGCCTTGGGTCAGACTTCCGTCAGTTTGAGAGTACCCCTCTCTCTGAGGGTGTGCATGTGTATGTATTTCCTCTTCTAATTAAACAGGGATGCTATTTCAAATGCAAGGGAAATCTCATTCTCAGTTTTTCACAATTATATTTCATGGTGGAGCAAAATGCTGTAATGTTTGCCTTTTTTATCTTTTGCTGTGGTTTTTGAGTATTCAGAAAATTGTTTCATATAGACTTCCAGTGCCCCGTAGCACTGGGAAACGTATCTAATCTGCAGGAGAAAACTGAGTAATCAGAATTCACTCTTTGTGTTAGGAATATCCAGAGGTAATCTAAAAAGAAATGTTCTTATACTAAATATAAATTACAAATATGACTGGTTAAGTCTGACAGGTTACAAGAATATAACACCTCCTGTGGGAACAGAACAGAGGAAATAACTTCTTGTGAAGTTTCTGTCTCTGTGGAAGAAAAGCTTTTCTTCTGTAAAGCTTGAGCTTTGTATGGCAGAGACTGTGATTTAAATCTTTTATCCAAAGATGTTATCTGTGCCCTGGCTGAATGGGGTTCAGCAATCTTAGAGAAAGGACAGGAAATCTATTTTAGAAAACTTCAGCATGCAGGGTTTAAAAAAAACCACTGGTATCTTTTCCAGTGGAAGAAATCTGAATGTCAGCAACTCTTGCTGTTTTGGGATGCATCTTGTGATATCTGGCATTTTCTTAAAGCCAGAAATTTTCTTTCGATGTCATTGACTGAGAAACTCACAAATATTTATTTTTGAAGTAATTTTTAACCCTTGTATAGTTGCAGGGAAGGGATTATAAAATCGTAATGTCCAAAAAATCTCATGCTGAAAGAAAAAGTACATATTTGTTGATTTCTTTTCTTCAGAGGCTTTTTATTGTCTTTTTATTTCCATTAATATTATATCTCTAGAACAGCAGCTGCTTATCTGAGGTGGGGTTTGTCTTGTCTAGGCTAAGGTGCTGGCTAATGGTTTTTCCTGACACCTGGGGTAGACTCTGACAAATTGAACTGGAAAATTGATAGCGAGATACAAAGTATTCTATGTGTTTCTTTAATAGTTCATGTGAGCTCCATAATGAGCAAAAGTTATTGATGAGTTACACTGACTAAAGTATCTAGGAAAGGGACCTGTGTTTAGCAGTTCTTTTCACCAGTATGAAGCATGGAAGTGGACATAGACTTCTGGTGGCAGTCTCCATGAGTTGATAGTAGATTCTTTCTCTGAGAGAAGAAAGCTCAGAAGGACCAAGTATCTACATAGAGTTAAAGTTTTGCTTAATGTAGAAGACTGCTAGCTGGGCTTGAATTTTCATAAATAAGTCTTAGCAAAAAAATTAATAATCAGAATGAGAAATCTTTCCTATATTGAGATATTGTATTTTTAACTTTCACAGATCATCCTTCAAATGTAACTTCATGCAGGTTTCAACTTCACTATTTGCTATATATTACCAATTTCTTCTCTTGAAAACTCTAGAGAAGCACATATTGGGATTTCTGTTACTGTCTTTGCTACTGACAATGTGTGATCACATATATGTCATGCTACTTCTTTGTGTCTTGTGTACCTCACCAAATAATGTTTAGTGTTTCCAAAATGCTAGGAGATTTTTCTGACAGCCTTGAAGAAAAATATTTGTTAAATTATAACTAAAACATACCAGATGGGAAAGATGAGAAGAGAGAAAATAGAGCAGAATATTTCAAAACTGGGGATGTATTTCAAACTCATTAGTTTTGAAGTGCTGAATACCACCAGCTATTTTTTTAATCTTGGGGAAAGTAAAAAAATCTGACATGTACTTAAATATTTAATGCTAAGAACTTTGGGGACATGTTTAGCTTATTTTACCTGCACCTATGCTTGAAGTTCATCCTGTTCCAGTCTGATTTGGACTGATTCATTGGGGGGCGGTTGAGACCCCCGGAAAGGTCACACGTGTTCTGTATTGCGAAAGATAATACTTAAAAATTGGAAGATTGAAGGGAGGGGATGCAGACAAGTCCCAGAAGTCAAGATTTCAGCTCCCCATGGTTTTAACCCTCATTCACCCGCTTCTCTGAAGGAGCCTGTGCAATTCTCAAAATGAAGCCAGAGTTTCTTGCCAGTCTGCTGAGCCTGGCGTAGAGCAGAACTTGGGGAGGCTTGGCCATCGAGCAGTGCCTGTGGTTTGGCGGAGCAGGTGAGAGTGCTTGGGGCTAGGACACTGCCCGCAGGAGTAGAGAGGCCCCCGTGCACACACCTCTGTGCTGGGAACATGAGGAAGGCTGGGGGAGAAGCGGGAGTCTGGGCTGGTGGGATCCAGCAGGCACACATACAGCACTGCTGACAACAACAGTGTCCAGTTTTTAAGTGTGCACAAAGTCAAAAATACAAAGTGCTGCTGGTCCCCACGTGGATCACTTTGGTTTGAATGCACTTAGAGCAGTTGTAAAACTGGAAATGTCATTGTCAGACTGTCCAAAGCAGGCCAGCACAGTGGCACATAAATAAGGATTTGCGCAGCACACGTTCTGAGTTACACAGGTAGTGATGGGGAGAAACCGGGGTGTAATTGCTGCTCTATAGAGAGCAGTTATTGCAAAGCATCTCTTGTACTAAGCAGGTGCCACTTAGGGGAGGCATCAGTTTTTCATCAAGCCATCTTGCTGAAATGGTAGCGGAAAAAAAATAATCTCTAGTTTATGTGCAACAAAGACGTTAAAATAACAATCCAGATTCTTTTTTTTTTTTAATCAGTGCTAATATTGGCTTCTGACTTCCTGTTCTTTAATGGGAATGGATTAGGCCCTTTATGTTTTGAAAGAGACCAAGCCAATTCCTGTTGCAAAATTCCAGTACTGAGATCAAATGAATGAATAAAAACAATTAGGAAAAACTTAGGTTTGTCAGAAAGCCACCCTCATTAGTACTCTCATCTCTTTTCTAGCATAGAAATTGTTTTTAAACTATAATTGCATCTCATTGACAAAAGCTTCTGGCTGCATATGTAAAGATTTGTAAAATACTGCCTTTCTGTAAGCTGGTATAATCTGTGCCAGAAAATAGAAACCCAGCCTCTCTGCATGGGAAAAGCTCCTCCTCCGGAGTTCAGTTTCAGTGACTCTATTGGTTAGTATTGTTGAGCTTTAAATATATTCCGCAGTACATGGTTTACTAGGCTTTGATGCTTGCTCTTGAAAGGCAGGAAAAAAATCTTCCTTCAGAAATGTTTTGCATAACATTGCCCTGTGCAGAGTTAAAGTAAATTAGTTACAGAAAAGATATTAGCTGGCGCCAGTGAAATAAACGGTAAATGTCTCTTCACCCTCCTCTTCTCTTACGTTCCTTTTGTCTGCTCCTGTAAGGAAGGCAGCAAGCAGTGGCTGCTGCTCACACTATTGATTTAAGCATTTGTGTGTTACATGTTGCAGCTCTGCACCGGCCTGTCTTCTGGGGCAATACGCGATGACTTCAGTTGTGTCAGATTTTCTGTATTTACATTTCTGTCTTCCGCACGGGGCTCTGGTGTATACATTGTTATACACATTGTTAAATGGGATTACGTGCATTCATTGTTACAAAACAATGCATGTAAAACACCATTCACAATCCCAGTGGTTCAGGGTTCCTG